AAAGCCATAGCCCATCATACTCAAAAGTTATGAGCAAGGTTAAAGTTTTTGCAGACAAACAGACAGGACAAAAACTATGTACCCTCGAATCTTCGATTACGGCCCGAGGCATAATTATTCGAATATGCATGTAAAATTATAAAACTGTCTTAGTTGGTATTCCAAAGACATTATAGTTGCTTTCATGTAATTGTTCAGATCAATGTTTTCCTGTACAACATTTCTTTATTAAAGTGTAAAGTGAATAAATTTTATATAGTAAGCTACTTATCAAAGTTGCTTTAAATTCAAAATATATATTTTTAAAGTTACCTTTCATCATGTTCATGGTCAAGTAAACGCCGAGGGGTAAGAGTGCAATCAATATACTGGCACCTAACTGTTTATAAATATTACCACACATTCTATGTTCAATGTCGGGGGAAATACGGGAAAAGCAACGTTGCAGTTACCTAGAAATTCCTACTGAGAATTTATATAGTTTCACTTTCGATTTTGATCAAAGTCGAAAATGAAACCATATCCATCTCTCCAAGTCCAGTCTCGTTCAACCACAATAGCATCATCTCGGGTCTTTCTGTAAAAGTGTGTGAGTTGATTTATTTTAAACACATTATAAAATAAATGCAATATTAATTTAAAACATTAATCTATAATTACAGTTATAGCTTTCCATAAATTTATTTTTATTCTATTTTAATATTATATCAGAAAGGGGTTTCCATACTATTTCGGGTCAGTTTTTCATGGATTAATTTCTATTGTTCAAATAGAGTCTAGAATGGGCACTTTGATCTAGACACAGAATTTTGTGCTTTATTAACCTTGGACTTTATTTATCCATAGAAAGTCAGTTTCTTTTAATATAACACAGTCATTTATTTATTATTTTAGATGAATTTAATAGCAAACAGTATATATGTTTATTATTATATAGATCTACTTGACAGATGTATAGGTAGCTGTAACGTGATTGATCTGGCTGTAGCTTACTAGTGTTTGATACCATATATAGGGTAAGATACGCAATGTATTTATTATGCGCAAGCATCGATAGATCCGAGGCGTATATTGTTTTTGTCCTGTTTGTTTGTCTGTTTGTCTGTTTAGCTGTTTGTATGTTTATCTGTTTGTTTGTCTGTCTGTTGTCTGATGTCAACTTTAACCTTTGCCATATCTTTTGAACCATGAGAGATAGAGATTTCATATTTGGTATACTTACTCCACCAATGAAGTTCTTTTAAATGACACCAAGGTCAATGACCTTGTGACTTTGACTGTGACCTATTTGCTAAAAATAGCTTTTTGGAACTTTCGCCATAACTTTTGAACCATGAAAGATAAAGACTTCATATTTGGTATGCATACTCCACTAATGTTCTTTCAAATGACACCAAGGTCAACGACCTTAAGACCCTGACTTTGACTTATCTGCTAAAAATATTTTTTTAACTTTGTTGCCGCCGGGCGCATAGTGTTTCACAAACACATCTTTTTTTGTATCATGAAATGCGTGTCTATATATATTTTGTGTTTACATGTGCATTCCATTGTTATGTGAATCGTAACGTGAATCATTTCTATTTCATTAATAGTAGTGATTTATAATTGAATTACTGCAGTATTATTTTATTCACTAAAGTTTGTAATGATTATGACATACAAAGAAAGTAAATCATATATAGATTATTCTTGTTTTATCCGAATCATATTAATTTCATGGTAAAGCGAGAAATAGCATAAAAAGAAGAGTTATCTCTCTTTGTGTATTTTATTGTGTGTGATATTGTGTGTTGTATTTATTTCAAACATTTGTTATTGCTACATAAAAGATTGAGAACATCAGAAAATCTTTCTTGTTACTATGTGAACCCGGTTACATTTCTTTCAGAGGTCGAAAAAGTTTATGGCCGACATAGTTGCGATTGGTTCAGCCAGGCACTCGATCGGCTGTTTCCGTACATCTCTACTCGACGGAGATTAATTTACGGGACAACCGAGTGTCTGGTTGTACGAGACTAGAGTGAAGCAAAGGTAGTTGTGGATACTGGATCCCCCCACCCGAAATTCAACCCCGGGGCTTACTAGACATTCTTTTTCATAAATTATATTTTTACCGATACGTATTTATCATGTGCACAATAGGAAAAAATTCGTAACCCCCCTAAAATAAACGTTCCACAAAAAATACACCACTATAATTTAATATAAGAGAGATGATGAATATCCGGAGTGGGGGAGGGTCCTATCCACAAGTACCTGTAGATTAAAGCTTTTAAATGCAAGATCGGAGGTGGCACATTAGTTTTAGATAACTGTAGCGTTTCTGAGTAAATCCTGTTCACATTTTCGGTGGTTCTTAATCATAATTCCACTCTGTAATAAAACACAAAAAAGTACATGTAAATTATAATCCAAATCAATGGCACAAAGCATTATCCAAAAGAATATTGAATGAAGGGCACTTTAAATAATTATTCCAATGTAACTCAAGTTAAATTCCTATTATTACACTACTCTCCCAAATTACAACCACTCACCATAAAAAAATCTTGTTTATATTTTATGACTCTTCATATTGCTCCTCTTAATCATACACCCCTGAACTAAACTAAAGGTCAAGCTATAATATATAAATGCTATAAACCACTACTACTGTATAAGCTCTTCCTAGCCTCATGTTAAGACAGCTCCCCATGAAAGCATTGATAATCAATCTAATCTAAGAATGAAAGTAAAATAATTAAATATATACTAATGTACTGACTAAGAAAAATAAATATAAAAAACGATAAATTAAGATAAAAAAAAAATAATTAAGCAGCTACATAATGAAAAATGAATGTGTTGAGTGCCAAGAAACGGCGGGTTAAAATTGAATCCATCCCCATTGCTATTGTTTGCAAGAAATATTATGCATTGATTCTATTTTTTGTTTATTAAATATTGATACAAAAAGTTATCATAAAAAGTATGCATCTATGCTTTAATGACATTAAAAATTCAATTATACATTACACTAATCGAATCAAGATCCAACTCGTACAAATGCTTAAAAAATGAAAAAGTATTTATTTATTCTTTTTTATTTTGAAAACGTTTTTTCTTTCGATTCTTTCCATTTATATTGACATGCATACTTACAAGCAGGATCATTTAATCAAATAAAAAATATACCATACAAACTAAACAAACCAAACATTAATAACAGGAACGGTAATAAAATCACCAATTGCGTCATTTGATCAAAACGCAATAGTCCTTCTATGTGTTTAACTGCATCGCTTCTGAGGATTTCTCGGAGGATTTTTACTGATGAAGAATCCATTTTACGCGGAATCCGTCTTTCCAGCATGACGTTCCAATTAAACAAACCCCAAAAAGCAGACCGAGGCTCTGTTACCATTACAATGAGGGGTTCATATATATACTCTTTCTGACAGACAATGAGGGTTCCGCTGACAGTGCCAGGGTCGGACCTGGTCAGTATTGTTGTTATATATACTGTCTGTACACTTTCTCTGGTCTCAATATTAAACCAACCATAAGGTATATTACCAAATTTGAATCCTTTCGAACCCTGCGTACTTGATTCCGCATACAGAATATCATTCCATTTCTGTCGTGCTGATTTGGGTAAAGTTATACCTAAGAAATAATTCAATAGACGAAGTTAAAATTTACTTCATTCTTAATTTTTTTTATTGATTACATGCAGTCTTTGACAGTATTTTGTATTTGTTATTTAGTTATTGAATATTACAATGAATATACCAGCATATCGTATCTGTTTTTCCCAGAATTCGAATAGAGTGTATATGGAAGAAAGCAGTACATTTCTCCTGACGAAATGCTCACATGGTTGTTTTGAAAAGTAAGGTAGGTGAACACCACTTTGGAGAAGAGATTTGATGTGATCATCTTGTACCTGTATGGAACAAATCTATTAAATGAATGTTTCAGAATTACTCATGAACATCTGAAGTATTTTATTTGATAAGTAAAATTTATATCAAGTTATCAGCCACACAATTTATGTAAAATTTCCCCTTTAAATTTACAAATAGTTTGCTGACATGTAGTGCAAATATAAAGAGGACAGTATGTCTGTCATGGTGTCCTAAATTATTTCCCAACTGCAACGGAGTTCTATTATATCTCAACATTTAGATCACTTGAACCCCACTAAAAAAATAATAATTTAAGACATCGCATTTCGTATTTTGTCAGTCGAATTAAAGAGATCTAAATATCGTTTCCATAATTTTGGAGTATTCTGATATTAGGCCAGCATTTTTTTATTTTTAGGTTTACGAACATCAGAATGAAAAAGTCCCGTAGGAGGAGGAAATAAAAAAAAAAATAAAATTATATTTTGGATACATTATCGACTTTTCTACATAAATTTTTGCTTCTTTTTTTATGCTCTCCTAACAGGCTTCTTGCCACTGGACACATAAGGGTTACAAAGGGGAAAATACAACCTTTCTTTGTTTATTTCATCATCTACCAGTTGGGGGCAGTTTTATAAATCTTTTGATGTTGGACAAAATACAGATTTTTTTTTTAAAAATCAATTTTTTAAATATCTTTTAATATATCTTCATTTTTGTTTTTAATGTGTGTTAGGTAGCAATTATTCTAAAATATTAATATACTTGAGACCTATAAAAGTAATAATTCCTTTCATAAAACAGACAGGGAGTATTCCCAAGCAGTATTGAGGAGTAGGATGGAATTTTTTTCAATTAAGTGTAAAATAATTTTTCTGGCTTCCATAAACGATACTACATGCCTGTATATATTTGTATATTCTTGTTTTTAAATAGTTGAAATATTTTATTTCTTTAGGCTATTGTTTATTTCTTCCTCAAATGGACTTAACTTCTCCCATAGTTTTATTCATTACATCTGATGCATAAGCGACCCTTTTCTGAAGAATGATGCTGACTGTAAGCTATGACAGAAACCTAAACAATGTCTCTGACAATAGCTACCATGGGAGTTTTAAACCTGTGGGAGGAAAATAATTTACCATTATAGACAGTTACTTTTGAATACGGATACATAATTATCTCACCAACATGTCACTTTGCAACAAAGTCGTCAGCATTTTATTGTTCTCTGAACGGGTGAAATGTTTTAAATGGCACTCCTATCAATAAATATTTACATTAAACCAAGCTTTAGTGCTGCTATGGACTTGACACAAATCTCCTTTCATTATTTAAAACCGGAAGTACGAGTTCGTAAATTTGAAATCTCGATCCCGACTCAAATTTGACATTGGAAAGAAAAAATTCTGTTTTTCACAATTTTATTTTTTTTCTGAAAATTCAAAAACTTGAGCGGCGGGTTTGTAAACCTAAAAATAAAAAAATGCTGGCCTTATGGACAATCATCTGCATTACCATTGTCGCATCCAAAAGCATGCTCTAGATAAAATTTAAAACAAAGACACACCACAAACAAATAATTTGATATAATATTATGTAGGGTTTCTAACCATCTTGTTCAGTTTCAGGTTTCCTACCGAGTGAAAGACCCTTCTTTTTATACCATTTTGTCTACAGATTACTACAGAGGGTTCAAATTGAAGTGTCCATTTTTCGCTTCAATACGTAGAAAACTAAATGATAAAAGTGCAGTATGATGATAAGAAACAGTAAGCAAGCACCTGAGCCTCAGCCGAAACAATTATAATCAAAGTACTCAGAAGTACTGAAAGCCGGGCTCATTTACAGGGTAATGAACAAAGACCGTGGTGACAGTCTAAAATCAAGTTCAGACGTTTAGAGGATATGTTACACACAAAAATATCTAAATGGCGTGTATAGTATTAAAAAGTTTTAAAAAATTAAATAAAATATAGCTAGAAATTAACAGCGTAAAATATTTATCACATGCATCGTTTCGGGGTTTTATATACAAACAGAAGTAAATAAACACCGATGCAGCCAGATTAATTAAGGTCAAACGACTATGCACTGATGTGTCCGCAGCGGGGAGTTTTGCATCAAGTCATTAATGATGTTCCCTGCATTTGTGTTAGCCAGATAGTACAACCTTTATTTATAGAATATGACGCAGACAGGGATACCTGATGAAAACCTTCCGCACCTTTTGAATTGCTTTGTAAAATATTAGTCAAAGGAGCCAGGAAAAATAATAAACAATTTAATATTTCGATAAAAATATTCGATTTACTATTTCTTAAGGTGTTTGAATGGATTTTGTTTTCTCAACAGCGACTGGGCGTACGTACTATATTTTCACTCGTACACTCAATTTGGCGGTGAAGAAGCAGCATTTTCTGTTGCTCACCGTCGCAATAGCCGGGCATTGCTCTACGAGCAATGAGCCCGGCTAAAAATCAGGAGCAGGACAACACAGACCTCTAAAACATCGGAGTAGGAATCTTGTGCCATTGAGGAATAAATTTATCCTGCAGACCGGTCTGCACCCAGCAACTCATTAATAAATCTCCCATGGTCTGTTAAAATACCGTCCCGTTTTCAAGCACATACACACACAACTCTAAATCTATTAATAAACTCAAAATTTCTAAAGAAAAGTCAGGTGTATTAAAAGTTGTTACCCTGGTCCGTCCGTCAGTTTCACACTTTCTTCTTCCTCAAACTTCTCTTACATTTTAAACAATGACCAACTCATTCCTTATCTGATATTTACCGGATCCTTCTGTATTTTTTTCAAAACATCCTCAATTTCATTTGCCATGCTCCCTAATGGTACATAATCTAAAATAAAAAATCCAGATAAATAATGAAATGGTACAGCTGTATAAAACTTCTATTTTTCAATGTAACAGTTTAAAATTACTGAGTAATAATCTTTTAAGGAGGTTGGTTCCTAATATGTTTAAGCCTTAAACTCTTTTGTCAAGTATATTTTTAATTTCTTTACACTTAGCTAGATTAAAAATCAAATCAAAGAATTGGTGTCAATATGCTTTTTTGGCGCTACAGTACATTTAATATGACATTTTTGCATTGAAATTAGTGCCTTAATAAAAAATTACATTTTTGACGCTTTCCCTCCAACATTTTTTATTCAAATAAAGCATGAAACAAAATAAACTTAAGTTTTTAAAAGTTTCAAATTGCTTCGCATAATCAATAATTTGACCTTTCTGCGCTCACAAAATCTGATTTTTCTCTTCATCGTCTGCATACGTTTTTTCTCTTTCAGTTTATTCGAACGCAAGAGCCTGCTCTACGTATGAATGATATGGAGATAACGAATAGTATTCCATATCAAAGTCCATAAAACAAAACAAAATAGGAGCGGAGCAAACACGGACCTCCGAAACATCAGAGGTGGGATCAGGTGCCATGGAGGAGTGAGCATCCCCTGCTGACCGGTCACACCCGCCGTGTGCTCATTGTCATGATCGTGAAAAAACGGAAAAATCCGTCGTCAATTCAGTGTATAAATAATGGACTAACAATTGGTATGAAAAACGTCAGTCACCATTTGACTCAATGATAAATTGTATTTGCTGACAAAGTCATTGTATCGACCATAGAACTTACGAAATGGTGACTTTAAACGAGACTGCTGATATTCTTGTTTCATCAACTTGTTTGTCAATAATTTACCTCGTTTTAGAAATTGTTTCTTGCTCTTGCGTATCGAATTAACTGAGATACATAAAATCCATATACAGGTGATGAAGGTATATCGCTGCATAAGTAAGGGAAGTTGACGACAGAAAAGTTAAAGTCGTCACGTTTATCATTTAACTTGGTTGTTAGGTTACCATAAACGTCTTTTTCAATTAAAATATCAAAGTATGAAACAGATGTGTCAGAGTCTGTAGTATCTTTTAACTCAAGCTCTCCTGGATGTATCGTATCGACGTAGGAATGGAAATTACCATTGTTAATTGACAATATGTCGTCGATATATCTGAAGGTCGAGTTGAAGGCCACAGCAAGTGTTTTCTATGAGCAATTTCTAAAACGAGGTGAATTGTTGACAAAGAAGTCGATGAAACATGAATATCAGCAGTCTCGTTTAAAGTCATCATTTCGTAAATTCTATGGTCGTTGCAATGACCTTGTCAGCAAGTACAATTTATTATTGAGTCAAATGCTGTTTGACATTTTCATACTAATTGTTAGGCCATTATTTACACAATCATATAATTGACGATGGGATTTTCCCTTTATTTCCCGATCATGTCAAGGAGCATACTATGATTGTGATCGGTCGGCAAGTGATTCTCACTCCTCCATGGCACCTAATCCCACCTCTGATGTTTTGGAAATTTGTGTTTGCTCTGCTTCTATTAATTTTATATTGTTAAATGGACTTTTGAGCTCGAATTGTGTTCATTATCTCCATATATTTCATAATTGATAATGTTTCCCTTTGCATTAGACCAATTGTGGAAGTAATCACTGAGATAACCGTTGTATAAACGCATAATTGTATAGAGAATTACTTATCTTTTACATTTTACCTTAGAAATAATTTCTGTCGTAATTTTATTCTAGTAAAAGTTAGTCGTCACAATGAAATGTCATCACACAGTTAGTCACAATCAACTGCCATAAGTTCCACTCCACCATATGCAGTCAACTGCCCCGTCACAACTGAGCACCTCAGTCATTTACCAAGTCTGAACAATTACTTAAGCAAAGTTTATCACAACCTTCCTAATATTAACCATTTGAATGTGCATAAGATCAAACATGTAAATTTTATATTTCTTGTTTATTCCTTGGATTATACAAACTCAATTAAAAGCGTGTAAAGAAAACGATTAAATTTGAGTCAAAAATGCAGTCAGCGAAATGTACATCCATATCTAAAGCGAATGATTAATTCTGAAAAGAAAATACATCTAATTATCTAAAAAAAAATTAAAGAAAGCATGTGAAAATGTCTTTTCTTTGCGCTCTCTGTTGCATATATATAATTCAGTTTTTGTTTGGTTTGTATTCCAGTCGATCTGTATAAGAAATTCGATCAATGACCCCTTCCTTTTTAAATTCATTCAGTGCTTTGTATCGGAAAAAATTCTGGAATTTAGCAATTTCCTCCCGACTGATGCTTCTATCAATTTCAAACTTTTGGTATGTTGACCAGACGTACAATCCCCAAAGAATGGAGTTGTCCTTCATTACTATTTGTGGCGCCAAACGAAAGTCCAGTTTGTAAATTGCTAACATACAATCGACGTATTCTCCATCTGCTGATTTCGCGAACCCCACGATCCCAAATCGTGCTCCCTGAACACCGGTTGAATCTGCAGTGTCAGCATTAAATTTCCACTCAATAATTTTGGACGTCCATTCCTCTGCAAAATGTACTCCGTTCCATTTATTCCTGTCTGCCGCTGTGATGCCTTATAAACATAAATGGCAATAATTTATCATTAATCATAAATAAATTTTTTAATAGCAGTTCGAAATTAGCATAAGTTCGTATGTAAAATCTCTTGAATCAACATGTATACAGGTACAATTGAACAAAAGAAAATCTTGGGTTATGTAAAAGGATATTGAATTCGTCCATTTAATACAAAACATATTGCGCTTTAGGAAGTTCTGTTCTCATGTTTTGAAATCAGGCGTTGAATGATTGAAAATGCCTATTAAAATGTATCTGAATTGGTAAAGGTAATGTGTATTTACCCATGCATGGTAAATCTTTTATCTTTTTAAAGACTTAATCATATCATATAAGAAAATTAGAAAAAAATTTCATTTAACAAAGAAAATACAAATGAAAACACAAATTATACATTTTCCTACTGAGAATTGATCAACAAATACATTTTAGGAAGGAAAAAATATACTATTAGGTATCCAGGCTTTTGAAAAAAAATTCCATTTTTAGCTCATCTGAGCCGAAGGCTCAAGTGAGCTTTTCTGATCAAAATTTGTCCGTTGTCTGTCGTTGTCGTAGTCGTCGTAAACCTTTCACATTTTCATCTTCTTCTCAAGAACCACTGGGCCAATTTCAAACAAACTTGCTACAAAGTATCCTCGGGTAAAGGGGATTCAAGTTTTTTCAAATGAAAGGCCACGCCCTTTTCCAAGGGGAGATGATTATGAATTAGAGAAAAATTAATGGCATTTTAAAAAAAATCTTCTTCTCAAGAACCACTGGGCCAGGAAAGATGAAACTCATGTGGAATCATCCTCAGGTAGTGTAGATTCAAATTTGTTCAAATTATGACCCCCGGGGCTAGGGTGGGGCCAAAATGGCCGACCCAAGTTTTACATAGGAATATATATAAGAAAAATCTTTAAAAATCTTCTTCTCAAGAACCACTAGGCCAGGAAAGATGAAACTCATGTGGAATCATCCTCAGGTAGTGTAAATTCAATTTTGTTTAAATCATGACCCCCGGGACTAGGGTGGGGCCAAAATGGCCGACCCAAGTTTTACATAGGGGTATATAGGAATACCTTTTAAAATCTTCTTTTCAAGTACTTCAAAGCCATGATTAGTGATATTTATATGGAATCATCCTCAGATTGTGTAGATTCTAGTTTGTTCAAATCATGAACCCCTGGGGGGGGGGGGTTAAAATTCAAGCCCCCACCTCAGTAAACTTTCAGTTCTGATCTGATATGTACTTTTTCCTATCCGATGTGCTCAGGTGAGCGCTGTGGCCCCTGGGCCTCTTGTTTAATATACTTATGAATTATTTTTATCATAACTTATATCATTTCATAATACATGCATAGATGTCAACTAATATTCGACTTCTTGACTCTCAGTGGAATGAACCAACCATCGAATAATGAAAATACTTTCGAATAATATTATTATTAAATCGTTAATGCATGTGCAAATAGAAAAAAACAGGTAATTGAAAAAGTTTCACTATCATTTGTTTGTTTGTGTTGTTACTATTATAGATTAGGCCATTCGAAGTTCTTTCTTTGTTTAGCGTCCACGTGCGCCTTGGTTTTTGACACCTCATCTAAGAAAAAACACACAACATCAGGAGTCCTGAAATTGATTAATTTAGTCGAAATTTTAGAATTTTGTCAATTTCTCCAAATAATTCTGTACAGTAAATTATATTGGGTGTATTTTAAGCATTTAATCCCTTGTTTTTTCCTTAAGAATAGATATTTCCTCTATTAAAGCAGTTTAGTTAGATCAAATCATTTGAAGGGCGTCATTTTTATGACTTTTAAGCCTGTGTTTTATGTTTGGCTTGTGTCTTTTTTTGTGAATAGGTAGGTAGGTTTTTGAAAGATGGGTGGACGCTAAATAGAGAAAAAACTTGGAATGGCCTTACACTCCAATACACTAGGATTTGTTAATTTATTGATTGAACTTGGTCTTATAAAATGCATATGTACGAATTATCTTTAAATTTGTTTTTGTAAGATAATTCCCTCAGATGCAAGGAACGAACCAATGCTGTGACACTCTTATAAAACTTTGATTCGTTTGATGTTTTGGGGGTTGATGCTTCCTCTGCTAGCGCTCTAATTTTGTATTGTTTTAAGGACTTTTGACGGCATAGATTAAATTTGATTTCTTTAAATTTGGAGTACAAATACTGAGCCTTTTTATGAAAAAAATTTTAATATGAACTTCAAAGAACACTGAATCTTACTGATTCGCATAAAATGAAAAAAATATTGCATTAAGATTTCTATTTCAAGCTTCAGTTTGAGAATTTTTAAATCAAATGATAATTCAACGAGTTTTTCTTCCTGGGGATCAGATATCCTTAAGAGGAAGGATTAGGAGATAATGAACAGTATTCAAAATCAAAGTCCATAAAACAATACAAAATAGGAGCAGAGCAAACACGGACCTCCAAAACTTTAAAGGTGGGATCAGGTGACATGACGAGACTTAAGGATGAGAATTTCCTTACCACTATCTCCATAAGTTTTCAAAAGATGATCGAGGAAATCTTGTAATTTCGCCATCGGAATTCTTCTCGCACGTGTTACTTCGGAGCCCTCCTCCCATTTCGTAAACTGGTTAAGCTGTTGTTCTACTATTGAAGCATCGAGATGGTTTACCTGAAATACGCAATTACTTGTAATTTTGTCTGACTGAAGAGCCTGGTAGTATCAAACAGACACAAAAGGGTTTGAGACAAAACGTTAATTTATGGCGTATGAAACGTTGCTAAATCGCTAATCTTGTGATGTATATTCAAAATCTTGTGATGTATATTCATAATCTTGTGATGTATATTCAAAATCTTGTGATGTATATTCATAATCTTGTGATGTATATTCAAAATCTTGTGATGTATATTCAAAATCTTGTGATGTATGTTCTAAATCTTGTGATGTATATTCAAAATCTTGTGATGTGTATTCAAAATCTTGTAAGGCCATTCCAAGTTCTTTCTTTGTTTAGCGTCCACGTGCGCCTTGGTTTTTGACACCTCATCTAAGAAAAAACACACAACATCAGGAGTCCTGAAATTGATTAATTTAGTTGAAATTTTTGAATTTTGTCAATTTCTCCAAATAATTCTTTACAGTAAATTATATTGGGTGTATTTTAAGCATTTAATCCCTTGTTTTTTCCTTAAGAATAGATATTTCCTCTATTAAAGCAGTTTAGTTAGATCAAATCATTTGAAGGGCGTCATTTTTATGACTTTTAAGCCTGTGTTTTATGTTTGGCTTGTGTCTTTTTTTGTGAATAGGTAGGTAGGTTTTTGAAAGATGGGTGGACGCTAAATAGAGAAAAAAACTTGGAATGGCCTAATGTATATTCAAAATCTTGTTATGTATATCTTGTGATGTATATTTAAAATCTTGTGTTGTATGTTCAATATCTTGTGATGTATATGCGAAATCTTGTGATGTATATTCTATAAACTTGTGATGTATGTTCGATAATCTTGTGATGTGTGTTCTAAATCTTGTGATGTATATTCAAAATATTGTGATGTATATTCTATAATCTTGTGATGTATGTTCAATATCTTGTGATGTATATGCGAAATCTTGTGATGTATATTTGATATCTTGTGATGAATATTCTATAATCTTTTGATGTATGTTCGATAATCTTGTGATTTGTATTCAAAATCTTGTGATGTGTGTTCTACAATACAGTGATGCGTGCAATGATAACGCATTATGAATAATGTGACGCAACAGTTTTCTAAAAAAGTAAGGACAATTTTCATTGGTTAGAAATAATGAAAGTAGCCGGAGCGGCGGTTCTACTAAACAGAGTACGCTAGAGTACGATACAGTAGTTTAGAGTACGCTTGAAAATTGTGTAATTTAATACAATTGGATTGTTTATTTATGTATATACAACTTTATTAAACATTATTATAAAATAACATTGCAATATTTGTCTCAAATATTTGTTGTTTTTTTAACCGATATTTTGACAATAAAACAACATCCAGGATTCAATGCATTAAAGATGATTAACACCCCGATCAAGATTACTATTTTGTTTTAGACTTACTAATTTCAACTTAGATTTGTATTTATCAAAAATTATATTAATTGCATTACGTATGCTTAATATTTTTCACATGAACAATGGAACATTTCAAGTTAAATAAGATCAGGATCGGGATCAAACGATAAACCGTAACCTGGAATCAGAAATTGAAATAACTCTTAAAATAAGGAAAACATACACATTTTATTTAATATATATATATTCATTATGTAAACTTGAGTAAAAAATCATACAAAAAGCAGATTAATTGCATTAAATGATAATTAATTTACTACCGTACACTAAAGTACTCGATCGTACAAGCGTACTCTGCTTAGTAGGACCGCCGCTCCGTCTACTTTTATCATTTATAACCAATGAAAATTATCCTTACGTTCTTAGAATACTATTCCGTTATTTTACTCATAATGCAAAATCATTGCACGCATCACTAGATTGTAGAACACACATCAGAAGATTTTGAATATACATCACAAGATTATCGAACGTACATCACAAGATTATAGAATATACATCACAAGATTTAGAACAAACATCACAAAATTATAGAATATACATCACAAGATTTCAAATATACATAACAAGATTTTGAATATACTACACAAGATTTAGAACATACATCACAAGATTTTGAATATACATCACAACATTATCGAATTTAGCGACGTTTCATACGCCATATTAATTGACCCTTTATGTACTCCTAGTTTTAAATTTTGAATGAGTTGAAGTTAAAGGAACATGACCGAACTGGGATTGTAAAATATCTATAGCCTCCAATGAATAAAAACCAAATTCAATTTGTAAAAATAAGTGTTAATAGCAAAGGTCATATAACATCAAGATAAACAACACTACTATCAGGGAATTATGTAGACAAAAACTTTGGTAAAAATGCCGTTTTCTTCGGGAATTGACCTAAACGATTAACTTTTTGTTTTTTTGATTGAAACATCTTGGAATTTCAAATAGCTGATTTAACAAAATTGCTACATGTACTTCACTCAGGTGAGCGCAATGGGCCACAATCATTAATAATGTTTTAATAGTAGCTTTTTTTTTTTAGCTTGATACAATGTCTTACCTTCACATTGTAGAGCCCGTTCTTTATCTTAGATGCAACCGAATCTTCGCCGCCAAATTTCTCAGCGATTTGGTCTATTGAATATTAGCATTACAAATTCATTTTTTGAGAACTATTTTAAATAAAAGAAATCGAATACAACGAAATCATGTCTCAAAAAAAAAGATCTTATATTAAATTTTCCTAATCATATCCTTTCAAGGGAACAATATTTTTAGGATCTACATGCATACGAGGGGTGATAAAAATTTCGCGAACTACTAGTATCTCTATATTTACAAAACCACGATTCAGATCAGCATAAAATTTAGCAAATCTATAGGCATGCTCATGTTCTATAAATAGCAAATGAAAAGTAATGATTTTCTCCATCATTGTGACGTCACAATGTGAAAATGACGTCAATATGTAGGTGACGCGTGACGAAAAATGGTTGTCTTATAGTACGTATTACTCGAGCAACTGAATAGCTGTAAATTTTAGCGTACAACTTGGAAATTCCTTTGAAGTAATTTATAATAATTTGTACAAAGATTATGTAGACAATAGACTTTCCAGACGTTCAATAATAAATTGGTTTGGTTGTTAGTGAAGGGAGGGAGATCGTTTGCTTTGTGGCCCAGCAAAAGCAAGCTAGGGAAGAGATATGTCCTTTGTTGGGCAATTTGTTAAGAAAGATTGCGAAGTTAGAGCTAGAAAAATAATTGAATATCTTAACAATAATATTATTATTAAATCCCTAAAATATCGTTTAATTCAAAATGAAATGTTGAATATAATAAAAAGAGGACTCCTAAATCAATACTGTGTATATCCATATTGGATAAACGACGTTCCAAAAACAAAGGACTCAGTTTGTGATGATCACCATGTTCTTTCTGGGAAAGGATTTATCCAATCATTCATTACTACGAGTGTGGGTCATTTCTGATTAATAGACTGTTCTTGTTATAAAAACTGCAAGATTCACGAAAGCCTCGTCCTAGAATATATCTTGACCCCGAAAAATATGGAATTTGAACACTATTCCAACATGAGTATGTAATGAACGTGATTATTTTTCCGAATGATATTTATTGAAAAGAGACGGCCTCTAAAAAGAATGTCAATGCCATATGTAGGTATTTCAATAATTTTTCAAGTTGCACATATAGTAAAAAACATTCATTTTAGATTTATGTACATGAAATTTTCAAAAAAGATAAGAATTTATGCATACATTTAATTAATTCTTTAAAAAGTTTAATTATTTATAAATGAATTGTACGATGTTGTGTTTTAAAGACAGGTAATTCAGGTTTGTTATGACCAATTCTCTGTTTTGTATTAATTGTCATTGTTATCATATTATAGGAACTTTGAATACTAATATAGGACTTCAGCATATTGTCTTGGTGTTTTGTTGAAAAGAATACTAGCTATTCATGAATACTTTCTTTTTAATATTGAATGACGAGTTTTTTAACAAATAAAAGGGTAATTTCACCAAATTAATAACACATTTTATTTCCCAAAAGAACCGGTTATGATAGAACGTCAATTCAATTCAATATTTTACTTGATTGTTCGCCTCTTAAAATATATGTTATGTACATTCAAAGTGCTATCATTCAATTAAGATATAAATGAAAGAAAGATTAAAAAAACGTTTTTCACGGAATCGATTAAACCCATAAGAAAATATATTGAATTCCTTGATATACTTGTTTGTTAAACTTTTTTTGTTCACTATACAAAGTGTATAAATTTGTAGTAATGAAATTCATAAAATAATAATGCATATCTTTGAATGTGTTGCAGCAATCTTTAAATTAATTAAAACAATTGAGTGAAGGAAAAAGGTTACAACTGCATGATCCGAAAATTAGGTACACTTTTTATTTTAATTTGAAATTTTAGCATAAAAATCGATACTTTACTTTGCTGTTTCTTCAAATATTTTTTTCTAAAAGGATTAGATATATCATTAAACAAAAATTCAAATACTTATCATTATATTGATCCAGCAAAGAAACACTTGGGAAATGCTAAATATACTGACGATTATCACTATAATAAACAGTTAGATACCTCGGACCTGCTCCAAACAAGTTCAGCAACGAGTTATCGTTCATAACAGCGAACCCTAGCGGCAATTGAAAGGCCTACCATAGGGCAAAAAATATGTTCTTTTTATTATCCATCTAATTAAAAATCTAAATACACCACCGGAGAGAGCGTACCTGAAAATGGTTTACACTTACACTAATAAAATGAATTTCAGTCCATGTAAATTAATTAGATAGATTAAAACTGGGAATAAAAAACTTATCTATCCGATAGCGTAAACATTCAATCTAGAGGAATTCTTCCGCGATCTAAATATAGTGCCATTTAAAAAGTGAAAATAGGACAATATTTTGAATGAAAATAAGTTTATTCTAACAAGTTAAATGACAACATTTTAATTATATGTGATATTTTTTAACATTATTACAATTTCTTTTTATCAAGACGGAATGCTTACGTTATCGTTCGCGGAGTAGTAATACACAGAGTAAGACAGAAAAATCTCACACTGCTGTCTCACACCGGACAAGTCAATCTAACACTGGTAATTATGCGAGAAATCGTTATCCAACCATCCTGTTTCCGAGATTGAGTCATTTCTGATTAATAGACTGTTCTTGTTATAAAAACTTGCATGGTAATATATCTTAGACTCAGAAAAATATGTTAGTATCTATGAACACAATGCTTCAGAGCATGTCACGTGACTGTATGGATCACGTGATTCGCGCATGGGCCGAACAATATGAATTGAAATCAGAGAGGGCTTCTTTAAAAAGAATGAACAATGAAACATAATGTAGTTATTCAATTTGTTTGCGAACTTTTTGATCATTCCTCTACGGAAGCCCATTTAGGACCTATCAAAAAATATTTTTGAATTCGTTTTAACGATTTTTAGAATTCGTTATAACGAATTTAATTTGTTATAACAGATTTATTGAATTCGTTATAACGAATTTAATTTGTAATAACAGATTCATTGAATTCGTTATAACGAATTTAATTTGTTATAACAGATTTGTTGAATTCGTTATAACAAATTTAATCTGTTATTACAGATTTGTTGAATTCATTATAACCAAATTGTTGAATTGGTTATAACGAATTCAACAAATCTGTAATAACAGATTAAATTCGTTATAATGAATTCAATAAATCTGTAATAGCAGATTAAGTTCGTTATAACGAATTCAATAAATCTGTAATAACAAATTAAATTCGTTATAACGAAATCAACGAATCTGTTATAACAAATTAAATTCATTATAACGAATTCAATAAATCTGTTATAACAAATTAAATTCGTTATAACGAATTCAAAAATATTTTTTGATAGGTCCTAAATGGGCTTCCGTATTACTCGTATAATAATTGATTTTCATATTTTGCATGTAATATGGAAATGGTAAGATAAAGCTGCTACATGTCGTTGCTATGTCCAAATGGTGTGTTGTTGTTTATTGTATTTGAAAGTTTTGAATGGGTTTAAAGTAAAAGTCATCTTTTTGGCATGAATACCGTTTGTTATACCCACATTCTCTGTATTGTATTAATTGTCATTGTTCGATCATATTCAAGAATCATTACTTTGAATACTAATATCCCGGGATATAAAGATTTAATTGGTGTTTTGTTGAATTCATGAATACTTTCTTTTTAATATTGAATGAGGGGTATTTTTAACAAATAAAAGTGTAATTTTACCAAATTGATAAAATATTTTATTTCCACAAAGAACTGGTTATGATAGAACGTCAATTTAATTCAATATTTTACTTGATTGTTCGCCTCTTAAGATACATGTTATGTACATTTAAAGTGCTTTCATCTTTAATTCAATTAAGATATAAATGAAAGAAAGATTAAAAAAAAAACGTTTTTCACGAAATCGATTAAACCCATATATCTAAAAATACATTGAATTCCTTGATATACTTGTTACCTGTTAAACTTTTTCTGTTCAATATACAAAGTGACCCAAAAATGTAGTAATGAAAATCATAAAATAATAATGCATATCATTGAATCTGTTGCAGCAACCTTTAAATTAATTAAAACAATAGAGTGAAGGAAAAAAGGTTACAAATGCATGATCCGAAAATTAGGTACACTCTTAGAGACACAGCAACTAAACAAACTGGCATAAAAATCGATACTTCACTTTGCTGTTTCAGTTCAAATAATTTTTTTTCTAAAACGTTAATTAGATATATCTTATTAAAACAAAAATTCATATACTTATCATTCACCTTTCCAGATCCAATAAACAACACTGGATAGGAATAAAACAAATATACTGACGATTGTCACTATAATAAATCCGCATCTCCCATACATTGTATGTGTTGAAAAAGACTATGATGGAATTTCACTATGTTGCGAAATATTCCGTTTTCTTGTAATTAGGAAATATTTTCACTTTCGATTTTGGATTATGATAATTTACCGCCTGGGTAATTCATTCATTATTAAAATTAAAGGATTAAAGGGAACAGTTCAACTCAACCTTCTGAACCAATGTAACATGAATTTAATAACTGATTGCCATGTCCTTTTTTATCGTACTGAATGGAATTTGTCTGTTATTTGAATACATGGACAGCTATTTTTGAAATAAATTTAGATTGGTCAATTACAACCATTTTTTAAAAATAAATTTACATTGATCATATACAAGATAAACATAAAATCATGTTCTGTAGAGAACAGGTTTTCCTACAATCTGTTAAATGTTGATTGACAATTATTGTGCTTATTAACTTTCAGATAGTGACAACATTTTATCAATTAAAATTTTGGTAATATCTATTGATATGTATTCTTGATATTTAACACATCATGATTATAACTTTCAACTAGGGGTACTGTGAGCATTGAGCTCACTAAATGATATCCCCCGCCTCCAATATGAATATAATGGCAGTGTCCATGTTATGCTGTTAAAAACCCAAGATATACGTCGGATCAAAAAAGTAAACTAGGAGGTGCAAATTGGCAGTATGAAATAAAGAATCTGTGAAAGTTTCAGCAAATTTCATTTGATGGTATGAGAGGAGTTGCGGATAAGAGATGGGTACCCCAACGCGTAACAGACGGACCGACTATATACCCTCCCGCTTTTTAAGCGGGGAGTATAACTAGAGGTAGTATAAGCAATGAACTCACCGAATGATACTCCTGCCTCCCATACAAATATATTGGCAGTGTCCATGTTTTGCAAAGGGAAACCTAAAATATGTGTCGAATCAAAAAGTAAAATAAGAGGTGCACAATGTCAATATGCAATAAAGATTCTCTGATAATTTCATTAAATTTCATGAGTGGTATGAAAGGAGTTGCGGATAAAAGATGGGTACCCCAAAGCGTAACAGACGGACAGACATACCGATTACTATATACCCTTTCGCTTTTCAATCAGGGGTTATAAAATCCTACTGTCTGTCACAACTTTTTTTTACATATGGAATATTTCCGAGGGCTTATTCACAGATGTGTCTTGTTAATACATGTATTAACAAGACACATAGATCTGTGAATAAGCCCTCGGAAATATTCCATATGTGGGGTCAGGTAATTAGGAGGTGTCAGCGTCCCCTGACCAATCACGGACACCGTGAACTCCATGCACTGGCCGGGCAGAAGACACTCAATATCCAAATCCAATACAAAGTAAAGACATAGCAACCACAACGAAATAAATCAACCAGAATAGAACCTATTATTAGTTATATCTACCAAGGCTCCCACCACGACCGTAAAAACCCTTCCAGAATGCACGGTAACAAGGGTACGTCTAATATTTCCTGTTACATCGGTTAATACTTTTGTAAGGAGTAAAAATAAACGCTTGGTAGATCATTTACCGAGGCCTGCATTGTATCTTTGTAAGTACTGTTGGATGGAACATTCTTGATTGACTGGAATATTAAAAGTATTCAACACTAAAATATGATGTTGAAGAATTTTAAAACTGTTTTTTGTAAAATTGAAAAGAAATATAAGTAGATAATGAACAGTATTAAAGCTCAAAAGTCCATAAAACAATACAGAATAGGAGCAGAGAAAACAGTCGGACCTCGAAAATATCACAGGTGAGAACATGTGCCATGAAGGAGTGAAATCTATGGCACACCAAATTCACAAAAAGGAGCTAAACATACAGATACTTTCACAGTTGGTAAAATATGTTTATCAATTGTAAACTATAGTTAACGGACTGTAAGCTATAGTTAACAACATTAATCTATATTTTACATCTGTAAACCATAGTTAACGCGATAATCTACGAGAGTTGTCCCAAAATTCCGTAGACAAGCGTTGCTTTTTAGGAACCCTACGTCATACATTAATGAAACTTCGTATATAGGTTAATCCAATACTATCTAATAAATTTATGGACAAATATGGAGAAACTACACAGATTATTCCAATTTAAAAGACATATTTCATTGTCTAGTGTAGGAAGGTGGCGCAATGGTCAAAAGTTGCTTTTAAAACTTGGCACATTATATTTAAAATCCTATGGAAAAGTAATTACCGCCCCGTATTTTTTTAAAGGAAATGAAAATTCTTAATGATGTTTTATAAACTATATTTCCTCAAAATTTGGAGTTTATGCTTTGATAAATACGTATTTTATAACGTTAAATATACATGGGGTTGAAATCGGACTTTTTGCAAAATGGCGGCTTCGTTGGCACAGGCGGCGCACTGGACAATGATCAAGTGTTTTGATCCTGAATTCACTCTTAAAGAAATGTACCAGTCATAAATGTTTGGTAGAGTAGGAAACTTTTTCTCGTCCTTAGTATTTAAAAATGACAAAAACGGTTTCTCTATGTATATGTGAATAACAGTAACTAAAATAAAGACAGGGCTAAGAACTGGGCAAGAGTTCCATTGTGCAACTCCATTAGAGGAAACAGACGAAAAGTCCGTATAAATATACCGTTTTCAAATTATTATTATTTCATACCTGTACATGCATATACTTTGTTTACTTATTTTAAAGTTTTAACATATCATCGTAATTAAGATATTTCACATTTATAACTATAACCGTTTTGTTTGATTTAAGAATATGATTCTGGTAATTGAAATACTTTCGCCAAAAATTTGACCCGTTGACATTTGTATTTTTTGACGTCGCAGATTGCTCCGGGTGTTAGAGAACGATATCACTTTAAATATTATTTATCGAAAAGTTTTCAAGTAAACATGATAAAACTTCGTAATTTATCTGTCAAGAACACGCTTTATCCACCCTGAAAATTTTATAAAGATACATTAATTTCTTTGAAAGATATGAGCCCAGTCTACGAAATTTTGGGACAACCCTCGTATGTTCCAGAACCGTAAACTATACTTAACACTGAAAAAAAACTTTGATTAGCTGATACAGTTTCACTATTTGTAAACTATGGTTTACAACTCTTAACTATAGTTAACGATCTGATAAATATGGGATCAGGATTTGTGAAAATATGATTAACAACTCTTAACGCCAGTTCACGATTGTAAATTATGATTTCCAGACGTGAATCTGATTACCAACAAAATTTATTGTGAACGTTTCATTACAGACCGATAAACTTAGATTAGCATTCATTATTTATAGTTAAACCGTGACATTTAGTTTTAGAGATGAAAACTATAGTTAACGAATTGTTAACTATAGTTCACGGTTTGTAAACTATAGTTTACAGTCGTCGATAAAACCTAGTTTATCAACTGTGAAACTTTATTTAGCTCATTTTTGTGAATTTGGTGTACCATAGGCAATCCCTGCCGACAGGTCACCATTGCCAAGTGCTCCTTGTCCTGGTCGGGAGATAACAGAAAAATCCATCAATAATTTAGTATGTAAATAATGGTCTAACAATTAGTATAAAAAAGTATCAGTCAGCATTTGACTCAGTGATAAACTGTATTTGCTGACAAGGTCATTGTATCGACCATAGAACTTGCTAAATGACCTTAAACGAGACTGCCGATGTTACTGTTTCATCAACCTTTTTGTCAATAATTTGCCGCGTTTTAGAAATTGTACATACATCTGTAGAACATGCTCTTGTGTATGGAATCAACTGAGAGACATAAAATCCGAATGCAGGTGATGAAGGTATATTGCTGAATAAGTAAGGGAACATGACAATTGAAAAGTTAAAGTCATGTCGATTTTGATATAGCTTGGTTGTTAGATTATCATTAATGTCTTTTTCAAGTAAAATAACCAAATATGAAACAGATGTGTCACTCTCAGTGGTATCTTGTATCCGAAGCTCACCGAGCTATATCGTATAGACATAAGAATGGAAATAACTTTTAAAAACTGACAATACGTCGTTTAAAAAAGGTAAATGTCGAGTTGAGGATCACTGCAAGTGTTTTCTTCTTGTCACGCATGTACAAATTCTGTTTCATATGAATATAAGAATATGTCTGTTTAAAGAATTTAAGATCCATATTTTAGTAGACGACAAACAAGTTTTTGAAAGAACAATATCATTAGTGTCGTTTAAAGTCATCAAAAGTACCATGATTGATAGAGTGAGTGGCATTGTACACAAATGCAATGCATCATTAAATCGAATGCTGGTGAAGTTCTTCACATTTAACATAGGGCCTTATTTACACACTGAATTTTTACATACAGATTTTACCGATTTTCCCAATCATGAATGCATAACAAGGTGCACACTACGGGTATGACAATTCGGTAGGGGATTCTTATCCCTTTATGGCACCCGATCACACCTCTGGTGTATATGTTTCCTCTGCTTCTGATGTGTATTGTTTGTATAACTTTTGTACATGAATACAGTAACTGTTGTATTCAAAATATCATTTAAAGAAGTGAAGTAAAATTCACTTAGGCCTGTTTAGATTTAATGAATGTTAAGTGAAAATCATTAAATTACAAGTTTTTTTTCCCATGTATACTGCATAAAAAATTGCTTTATATGCATGCTATATGATTTTAAAGAAGTGAGTAAGTTTACAGAATATATAAGCGACATATCATAGTAAAGAAATTTGCATCATGAACTGGCAATACTAAGGAATTAATAATAAAAATAATGGCTTTTTTACATATAGAAAAGGAAAATAAAAATTTACATCCTACTGAAAGTTTTGATGCCTTAAGCGTGTGTATGTGTTTGAAATATTTTTAATAGGATCACAATTGGAGCATTTGGCAATTGTTTTCATTGCAATCTGCAAGGGGTAAATCTAGAACTCAGTATATAGTGAGTGTTGGTCCGAAATACCATTAGCATGAAAATTCTGAAAAAAATTACAATCCCCTTTTGAATTTTTAATATAATAATAAAAATTGAAGATTGAATTAATTTTCCAAGAAAGACTCCAAAATAATTTTAAAAGACACTAGACTAAATTAGTCAACATCACTGA